CCCCCCCCCCCCCCGGATATTGGGCAATAGGGATGTATGCGCGGCGTGCAGTTTTTGGTTTTATTCACAGAATTGGGAAAAAAAAGATGAAAAATCGCCAAAAACTTGCCCTTTGATGCCCTGAATAGTAAATCAAGTTTCAGCAAATAAATTACCATAAAAAATTTAAATCTGTAGAACAAATTTATACTAAAACCAAAGAAATATTTCTGCGGATCCGGCGGTAAAACAGTGATTTTATCAGGGACTGACGATATAATTTAATATGACTGTCTTATTCCCGGTTCACAACGGTACACGGCACAACCTTTAACTGAACAATAATATATAAGATTAAGATATCCTTTTTTTTCCACATTAAAATGTGTAACATTATGAACATTTCCTACATTGTTATTATAACAGAAATCCGCAGCTTATCTTGTAGAAAAATCACAAAGCACTGAAGGTTACAATACACTCTTAAAATGGAGGATCAATTGAAATGACGTGTACAGTCCCTTTAATGATAAAACATTTACCTGTTAGTTATTAGCATAGTTGTATCAACAAATCTATCCACACAGTTACTTAAACAGCTTTCTTCCCGACCTACAATTTACCATTTTTATTCAATATTATTAATTTATTAAATATGGTTTTTTAGCTTGACAATCAGTGCTTACGATCCGGATCCAATATGTTGGATGCCTGGATCAGGATCCGGATCTAATATTTTGGATGCTTGGATCCGGATCCGCAAAAATATGCGATCCGGATCCAAGGGAAAAAGTATCAACCAAAACCAAACATTTTGCCCTCGAAACACAAATCAAAATTGTTAATCTAAACTAGATTAACAAAAATCTCCATATTTCTAACGACCAAATTTGAGCCATGTCCCGTNAACAAAAAAAAGTATTAAAGAGAAAAGACGAAAAAATTAAGTTTACCGAGTCAAATCAAAATTTTTGTTAAATATGCTTTCACACTTTGCGAATTTCCCTAGTTATATTTATTCTTCTCTTTGTTAGAATAATTTTTCAGTGCTTAATTTTGATGCAGATCTGGATCCGGATCCTGGATATGCACTGGAAAAAAATGAATCCAAGTCATGGACATTTCTATAAGATTTACTGATTTTTTAACAGAAGAATTGTTAAATTATTTTCTTATTTTATGCTAAAACTTAATAAACCATTCAAAGATAAGGAAATTTTAGATAATCTGCTTTTTTCAGATTTGGATTTATAGAGCAAAGATTTGCAGTTTTGATTGATATTTTGACCCTTGGATCCGAATCCGTAGTTAGGAAGCCAATATGTTACGGATCCTAAGCACTGCAGGGAGAACATTGAAAAAATGAAAACCTCAGTATTTTCTAAAAAGGCTAAAGAATTGCGCTCCGTATTAATATTTTTAAAGAGATTTACTGAACTTTGAAGAAAAGTAGAATGTTTGATTTTTTCGCTTAATTTTCTGAACCATTTAGTGATAAGGAAATTTTGAAATATACTTTAGATCCAGCTCAGTAGATCCCTAAAGTAGGACGGTTTAACTTTATATATAGCTCTGTAGATACTCTTCAAACCTACAGAATGGCCAATATATTTTTTAAACCTAAATTAGAACGCCCAATTTTAACAGTACAACAAATCAGAGTTTGGAATAAGGAATAAATAGTTGTTTTTAAATAATAATTTCGCCAGCTTTGCTCCGGATTAGGATCCAGGAAGCAGATCCAACGGTTCTGGATCCTAACCACTGGAAGAAGGGCTGATTTAAGGGGTGTACTGTTAGAAATTATATTTCATGTTCCTTTATCAATATATAAGAACCCTTAAACCCTTAAATCTCTAAAACTGTGGCAGCTTTTAAAAAGATCAAGACCATTAATTGATTAATTGATTGAAACCTTGATCTAAGAAGTTAAGCAGATATCTTCATTTTACTCTATAAACCTAGATTTAAGAAATGGTGTAGATATCTTCATTTTACTCTTTAAACCCTAGATCTAAGAGACATTGATAAAGATATCTTTATTTTACTCTTCAAACCTAGATCTAGGAAACAATGATGTAGATTTCTATCTCTTATTCTTTAAACCTAGATCTAGGAAACAATGAAACTCTGTAATTATTTTATATGTCTCAAATGAATCCTAAAAAATGTCTCTACAATACTGCAATCTCAGTTCAACCACCATACATTGCCGTTCACTCCCTTTAAACCTTGAGTTAATCAGGGGTGTATATTATTTTAGAAGTATATTTTGAATGATCTAATCTCATTTACCCTAAAAATCTTTTTTTTTATTGAAAAAATGAATGATTTTTCATAATTTTTAAGAAAATATACACCCCTTAAGAAACAAGGGTAAAGATATTTAACTTTTTTCCTTTAAACCTGAATCTAAGACACCATGGTAATTTAAAATATATTCATCTTGAAAAATAATTCATTTCTGCCAAGAACCAAAAATGATAAATCTTTTATGGCTCATGGCTCAAATTAAAGTGCCCAGTGTTACTGAAGATACTCATAGTAACTTCCGCCGTTAACCCAAGCTTGGTCTTAAATTATGATTGTTGAAGTGCCTGAAGTTGCCCGTGGAATTTCAAACAATTTAAAATATGGGTTCCTTTAAAAAAAATCAGCCAATTTGGTTTAGCCGTTTGGCCAGCTGTAACGTACATGTAAATGAGCGAAGAGCTCTATTATATAGATTTATGGCAATCATTAAATAAGAATTTGGAAGAACAAAATGGGTTGGACTTCAAACCTGCATAATTTTACAATAACTTCAGGCACTGAAAACTTAAAATTCTATTTATTAACCCAGATCACCGATAAAAGCCATCTTTAACACTTAAAATAATAAAAATGAAAATAAAATGAATTATATAATTTTAACGTAGTGGAGGAGGGGGGGAATAAGATTTTGGGGAAGAAAATATGATTTTACCCAAAAATATCCCCCTGTCTTATAATCTTAATAAAAGGATAATATGTAACCTGAGACATAAACTGTAGTTTCTGTTGCTCCATAGCAACAACTTGCTGAAGATCTCCTCCTCCCCCTCCACCACCCAGGCCTAGTTTGTACAATGAGAATTAAAAAAATAAGGGTTAATAACTATGATTTATAATTCTCTGGGGAAATAATAAAAAATTTGACATCAAACAGCAAATCTTTTAAACCGTCTTGAAAATTCAAAAATAGCTGTAAAAAAATACGATCTAATTCCTAACATGCCCTGTTTTAATTGATAACAGTTGGAACATCCGGACTGAAAACAGGATCCCAATACTGGATTCAGAACAAGAAACCATGATTTGATACTTCACAGGACTTATTTTCATTCAAATTATATTCAGACCTCCGGAGGTCATTGATATTTGGGGCTTAAATACCTTCAGGATCATCTATGGTCAAAAAAGGGGCCTCGGAATGAAATTATAACACCAAAAATCTATGATTTGATACCTCACATGACCTACTTAAATTGATTTTATATTTTGACCGGAGGTCAAAATTAGAATAAAAGTTATAATGAAATATTTTCCGAAAAGCTCTTGATATGATTTTATTTTTTTGTTGGAAAATACTACTTAGGTATGTGGAATATGAAATATATTGACAGATTAGGTTGACATTTCTTTATACCTATCCCTGCTTGAGGGCAACTATGTAAAACGCAACAAAAAAAAGTATTAAAGAGAAAAGACGAAAAAATTAAGTTTAATAGGTCCAAATTTGACCGAAAATCACAGTTTTCTGAGATTAGGACCGTAAAATCCGCGTGAACCAGGACCTAGGTTGATTTTTCTAAATTTTAAACTAAGTTAACTATCTGCAATGGAATACTAATACCTAGAGAGCTAGGACTTGAGGAGGTATCAGGGCTGGTATCGAACTCATTACTCGAATATGATGATGAAGATCTTAGTTTACTTCCATATTCTCCTAAATATAATATAATATAAGGGGTGTGTAGTTTTCAGAAATGATTTTTGATGATTTGAGGGGGAAAAATAAAAAAATGGGACACTAAAAGACGAGTTTATTCATTCTTTTTGTTACCATATACCCAGAAATTCGTTTATTTTCCCCATTGTGAATTGTGAATGTCATCTATATAAGTTGTAATCTCTGTTTGTTTGTTTGGATGTCCGATCATAACTCAGTAACCCCTTGACAGGTTTGCATTAAATTTTGATATGGGAACTCGGGAAATCCTGGAAATGTTCTAAGCTTGGTTTGAGATTCTAAGTTGAGTGGGTCGATTTTTATAGAACTAAATTGTAATTTACGACCAACGGCGCGAGTAACTATGAGTAGTTAGTACCCTAGACCAGTGCTTAAGATCCATTTAATTTTGATGCGGATCCGGATCTGGATCCTGGTTCTGCACTGGAAAAAAAATTTCTTTAAGATTTACTGAATTTTTGTAACAAAAATAATTTCCAAATTGTTTGTTTTATTTTTTTCGCATATTTTTATCCCAGAACTTTATGAACCATGACATTTTTATAATTTCTCTTTTATTTCAAAAGTTCAGATTTAGGTTTTAGGAGTAACAAGTTTTTTTTGCAAATTTTGGTTGATATTTTACCACTTGGATCCGGATCCTAAGCACTTCCTTCATGCTAGGTTCTCACGCTAGTTAATAATAATTATTTAATCATTTTATTTAAAATTAGAACCTGTTGAGTATTTTGACATATCTATAGTTGCGGAGGTATTAGTCTCAGGTTCACCACCAAACCAACCCATTTCTTTATCTGAAAATAATAAACTTTGTAATTTACTAATCTTAATGATTGATTGACATTTCTTTCTATATGCATCTAAAGGCGGGAATCTTAAATGATTCATCACTGTTTGGGGTCTGTCCTAAAGAACGCTTTTTGGACCCCCCCCCCCCCCCAAAAAAAAAAAAAATCAATTTTATTACATGACCTCAACGATATAAATATTTATTTTGTATTTTTTCAGAGTTAGGTCCAGACAGAGCTAAACTCAGGGGCCGAGCGCTGCGCCCTTATGTCCAACTTGGGTCCATCCTAGAGAACGATTTTTGGACCCCCTCCTATCAGTTTTGTTCATGACCTAGATCTCACCTATTTTCAACAGAAAGATGTTGATTTTATATTATTTCAGGGCTAGGTTATATTAGGACAATTTCTGGGCCGAGCGCTGCGGCTAGGGGGCCGAGCGCTACGGCCAGGACAGACTTTTAATTTCATCAATTTTCAACAAAATTAGTATATATTTATGGTTAGGTTGGGCTAAGACACTTTCTAGGCCGAGCGCTGCGGCTAGGACAAGCTAGGTGGCCAAGCGATGTGCCTAGGACAGGCTAGGGGGCCGAGCGCTACGGCCAGGACAGACTTAATTTCATCAATTTTCAACAAAATTAGTATTTATTTATGGTTAGGTTGGGCTAAGACACTTTCTAGGCCGAGCGCTGCGGCTAGGACAAGCTAGGTGGCCAAGCGATGCGCCTAGGACAGGCTAGGGGGCCGAGCGCCGCGGCTAGAACAGTCTAGGATGCCGGGCGCTGCGGACACATGACCAATAATATCCATGTGATACATATCAGACCAATGTACAAAATTACCCAGCGCTAGCCGGGTACTGCCGCAGCGCTCGGTCCAAAAACTAAGTCATAATCTGACCTAATTCTGAGAAAAATCACAATTCATGCACATTTATTTTAATTAAAATAGGGAGGGTGTAAAAATCTTTCTTTAAGATTATCAATATGATTTACAAGATGCGTGTATAAAATATCAAATTAAATAGAGAAAAATTCAAGAAATACATGATTCGACGGGTCTGTATTCAACATCGAACAGATATTTTTTTAACGTAACGCTTCATATTTCGCCGAAAATTAGCCAAATCTAAAAATTAAATACATATAACATAATTTAAACAAATAAAAATTAACGAAATTGAGAATTAAAATTAAAATGTCAGATGCGAGAATACCGCGTTCATTAGATCGGAACTCGGAAGCGCTTCTTCAATTGGAGCTGTATCGATTGAACTATTGATTGATCAGACAAACGTATATTCATACGTTCATTTGGAATATACTGCCAAATTACTAAATTTGGTCCCAGTAGTCTGAAACTTTGGAATTCATTTTTGTAAGATTCGACAAGGGCATACTGGAGATTTAGCCTAATGGGGGGGGGGGGGTGGGAAATTTTGGTGAATTTTTTTATTACCTGCAGAATAATGTTTGAGCGGAGCGGCAAAAAACAACAATAAGATTGAAGGGGAAAGTTTTTTTAGGAATATCCACCCCTGATATCAACAAAACTATGTTTTAAACCAGCAAAGCCTATAAATGCAAAATATATTCTTTACATTTTATGATAAAAACTAATTAATCAATATTTTTTTTAAAAGATAGGGGGTTTAAGGGGAGGGCACAGCGTCTTCTAGGGGTTGCACACATTTTTTTGGCTCTCTCACGCACAGAAATAGTCACCCCTCCCCCACCATAAGCTAAATCTCTCGTACGCCCCTGTTTCTCCTCAAAATATCCAACTGTGCTCGGCCCCTGTTCCCAACTCTGTACACTTTAATTAATAATTAGCAATAATTTCCTTTTTCCATGGAATTAAAATAATACCCAGAGAAAAAATTGTAAATAAGATTATAAGGTCTAATGAAAGAATTTAATAAATTATCATAAAATAGACTAGTAGACTACTTACGCCCCCGAAATTCGAGACTTTTAAATAAAATAAACTAAATCCACCAGATAAATTCTAGTATCATCCACATAATCCATTCTAGTATCATCAACCTGATCAATTATAGTGTAATCAACCAGATCAGTTTTAGTACCATCAACCTGATCAATTCTAGTATCATTATCCTGATCAATTCTAGTATTCCACCTGATCAATTCTAGTACCATCAACCTGATCAATTCTAGTATCATTATCCTGGTCAATTCTAGTATTCCACCTGATCAATTCTCGTATCATCAACCTGATCAAATCTACTATCATCAACCTGATCAATTCTAGTATCATCAACCTGATCAATTCTAGTATCATTAACCTGATCAATTCTAGTATTCCATCTGATCAATTCTTGTATCATCAACCTGATCAATTCTAATATCATCAACCTCATCAATTCTGGTATCATCAACCTGTATCAATTCTAGAATCGTATCATGCACCACATCAATTCTTGTATCATCAACCTGATCAATTTTAAACCAATTCTAGTGCCATCAACCTGATCAATTCTAGTTTTATTACCCTGATCAATTCTAGTATTCCACCTGATCAATTCTCGTATCATCAACCTGATCAAATCTAGTATCATAAACCTGATCAATTCTAGTATCATCAACCTGATCAAATCTAGTATCATCAACCTGATCAATTCTAGTATCACCAAGCTGATCATCCTAGTATCATTAACCTGATCAATTCTAGTATATCATCTGATCAATTCTCGTATCATCAACCTGATCAATTCTAATATTATCAACCTGATCAATTCTAGTATCGTATCATCCACCAGATCAATTCTAGTATCATCAACCTGATCAATCCTAGTATCTAACCTAAGCAATTCTAGTGCCATCAACCTGATCAATTCTAGTATCATTACCCTGATCAATTCTAGTATTCCACCTGATCAATTCTCGTATCATCAACCTGATCAAATCTAGTATCTATTAACCTGATCAATTCTAGTATTCCATCTGATCAATTCTAATATCATCAACCTGATCAATTCTAGTATCGTATCATCCACCAGATCAATTCTAGTACCATCAACCTGATCAATTCTAGTATTCCATCTGATCAATTCTAGTATCAATTTAAACAATTCTAGTGCCATCAACCTGATCAATTCTAGTATCATCAACCTGATCAATTCTAGTATCATCAACCTGATCAATTCTAGTATCATCAACCTAATCAACTCTAGCATAATCAACCTGATCAATTCTAGTTATATCATAAACCTATTTTAGTAACCATTAACTTGATCAATTTCAGTATTTAATTTGAAAATTTGAAATTATTATATAAAAAGTAACGAAAATAATATTTTTTTAGGTATAAAATTCAATATAAAACAAAATTATATAATTTTCATGTATTAAAAAAATTTAGGTATACTGAGCTGAAAACTTCAGAATGAGATATCCTTAATCCCGATTACTTAATCTGAGTATCCAAAGGAAACACTATTGATTTTCTTCTTAAACCGTTCTTTCTTGGATATAGTAGAGAATAATCAAAAACCGGTTTTTCTAAATTAGAGTTCCTCCCATTTCTGTATATAATCTTAAATGGCTCGCAAATTTCAAATTTATCAGCTTCATATACACGACTCTGATTGGTTGAATTTTATACACTTTTCAGGGATATACAAGTACAAGATTAGGTTAGTCTCGATATTTTGAAGAAAAAAAAAGAGAATCAAGCATTAATCTCGATATCCACCATTCTAAAGTTTTCAGCTCTGTAGCCAAATCACTATCTGTTAAAGGGACTGAAAGCGTAAGAAGTTCCTATGAGAAAGTATTTATGAGAAAGAAATGATTAAGATGAATTACAAGGCTATCCACGAAGGTAAAGACTTGATTGATTCAGGGAATTAATTCAGTCTTTGTTCTTAAATTCATGATACCCTGCAGCTTAACACTTGTTTCCATCTTTCACAATCATTTAATTTATATTCAAAAAATTGTTATCGGGTCGAGTAGTCCAAATTCAGCTTTTACTAATAGATTGTCATATTTTAACAGTTTCATGTATATTTTTATTTAAGTCTCATGGTAACCCTGTTTATGGGGTTACGGTGATCGTTAAATACTAGCTCTTTCTTTTTTTGTTTCAACCAAGAATATCTCCATCATTAAACTGTTTTTGAATTGGCCAATGTCACTCTATGCTTACATAATAAACCTCTGGATTAAATACCTTTCTAAGGTTCCACATCTATACACAAATGAAACGACTCGAGTTTATTTTTATTTCATAAAAGACTAATATATAAATACATTTTTCTCACAGCAATATGTGACCAAAACTTACTTCAAAGCGTCGACACCAGACCCCCAACCATTTAAGTTGTGAAATACCAACACCAGGAGGAAGTGTCAGCATTACCTCCTTATCTCCTCTAAACTTTCCCAATTTTGGATTAGACGTATCACCATATTGGTAATTAACCCCATTATATGGAAATGGAATCGGTATACCCCCCACGGATGGTCTAGTACCACTAGTGCCAGCCAGGAAAAACGCATCTGGTCCAGTTCCATCGTATGTGAACTTCTTGATTAGGATTTGGTTTGATCCAACAGCGTACACATCTCCTGATACATCATGCATCATTGGAATAAGTTTTCCCAGGAACACTTCTGAAAACTGTTGAACCTGATCAGGTCGGGGTTGATGTCCTCCGCCTTGTAGACGATGGGTTAGAAGCTTGTTCTTGTCACAACAAACCATCTTTTTGGAACCAGGTTCACAGATTTTTCTTTATAACGGGCTAATATAACTGGAGAGAAGAAAGCTATAGAAATGAATTGTTAAAGAGTCAAATGACAAAACTCAAGAGAAAATTATGCAGGGTTACCACACAAAGAAAGAGACTTTAAATTAAGTCTTATGCTATGACGATAGTCTTTGTAAGGCTTAAACGCAGAAAGAAAAGAGTTTAAAAGTGCAAAAATACTAAATGTGAGGAAACAGACAGTATGAATTTCGTAAAATCGTCTGTGAAGTCTCATCCTTTGTGGGTAACCCTGTCTCTAATAAAAGCAAATGAAGGAAAAGAGTTATGTAATAAAATATTGAGAAAGGTTCAAATTAAAAAAGTTATTTCGCAAACTATTTTAGATAAGTATTAAGGTAATCTTATGTAAAAGATTTATGTATGAAACAAACTTTAAGAAAAGTATCAAAGTATAAGATTTATGAATTAAACTAAATAAGAAAAGTATCAAAGTATAAGATTTATGAATAAAACTAAATAAAAAAGTATCCCAGTAAAAAATCTAGCAGTCTCGGAAGGCGTATTAGATTATTCAAAGAATAAAGAGTTATTCATTGAATTATTAAAGAAAAGCAAATGAAGAGTTTTGTATAAACAAATTTAAAAAGTACAAGAGTTATGTATCAGAATATTGAGAAAAAAATTATAAGGGTTAAGCATCACACAAAAAGAGAAAAACATCAAAGTAAAAGAGTTTTTTTTAAGTAAAGCATTAAAGTAAAAGAGGTTTGTACATAGTCCTGCATTAAAAGAATACATAAAAACAATATTTAATCCCTTCCTTGATACATCTGCAAGAACTCTTCGATGCATTGAACTGTCACCAAGAATTTGTGACAGCATAAGATCACGGAGTACAGGTGTGCACCTTAATAACAAGTTTCTAAACAGTATGAAAAACTATTCGCTATTTTTTTAGTGGGTTTCAAGAGTAATTAGGTTGCTACAGAAAAAAAAAGTCGTTTATGTAGGATCAATGTAAATGCTTGGATTTTAGGAAAAGTCCAGACATGAGAATCCATATAGACCAATAGTTTGAGTTTTTTGTAATTATCCCTGGGAGATATGGTTTAAATATTGAGCCTGAGCTATTGGTGTATGGCCGGGTATGATTACATTGGTCGGCGATTATATCAATACAATGAAAAACTTTACTATTTAGGTTGATTTCTAACAATTTACTTTAAATCAAAATTTAAATTCAATTAAATTAAAATTAATAAAACGTTAAAAGAATTTATTAATTGACATATTTTCATGTCTCCATTTTAATGTGTAAACAAGCTACTTGAAAGCTTGGTAAAACTAAATTGAAAACATTTAGTCTCCATCGTATTAATATATACGACGACAAAAATCTTAAACAAGATATTTCCCTTTCTGTACTAGGTATAATCAATTCTAATAAATATCTATCTTTCCAGTAATTCTCCCTGTCCCAAAAATATTTTTTCTTGGGACACACTGCACAGTGCCCAATGGCTCTTTATGGGTAATAAGACCAATAGGACCGAATAATTTTTACCTGATTAAGGGGACACAGGACTCCGACGGCGGACACAGCTCCGTCAAAGTTTCTCCGTTCACCAATATGGTTACTAGAAATATTTGTCCTAGCAGTACAAACATTTTGTATTGACTACTGTTGAAAAGTTACAAAGTGTCCTGTTTGTACTTAGAAATTGTACGATATGTACAGTGTATTGTGTACTGTGTACATCAAAACGGAAAATGTTTTGTATTTTTTTCTGAGCCTAAAAACTTTGGAAATTTTTTTTAAAACTGGATATTGTCTCTAATTTCGGGTTTTTACATATATTTTCTACACAACATTTTAGTTTCTCTTTTATAGTGAATGTTTACACACTGCAGAGGGGCGCAAAGAGGAATTTGTCCAGGGGGGTCTTAACTTTTTATCCAAAAGGTAGGGGGGGNGTATATGTACCTGTCCCTGCATATCTGGTATCTGATATATGTACCTGTGTGGGGAAGTTGCCACTGAAGTTGTCATTTGGGAAAATATCCAGGGGAAGTTGCTGCTTGGGAAAATGCCTAACATCCCAGACACTGGATGGAGTTTAAACTGTAAATTGAAAAATTAACAACGCAGAGATGAATTTGTAGCAAATATATTAACAGCACAATTTTTAGTATTTTTTTTTGTTTTAAGACCCATTTTTTATGAGCACCAATTCACAAAACATTATAGTTTTTGTGAAATAATTGAATAATGAAACACAGTAAAAGAACAAATTTAAGTATTTAACAAAAACTATGTTTTTATGAACTGGTGCTCAATTATATAAATAGATTCGAGTACAGATACACCTGTTTGGGGGGGGGGGGGCCTCAAATATGGAATGATTTTATATGATGTAGGGAAAAAATGAAAATTTTTATATTAAAAGGCAACTTATTTTTTTCTTCATATTCTTAAAACAAAAATTAAGCAAGTAAAACCCTGAAAATTTCTATGGCTCTCTGCGCAAACGAACATAAATTCTGTAAATTCTGTAAAAAAATTGTTTTGGTAATCAAAAAAGTAGAAAAAAGTTGGACATCATAAGGTAAGTTTTTCATCCTTTTTAATTCTCTTTACCCAAAAATTCAGTGATTAAAACCTTTAGGATTGTTTTGATATATCTGCGCAAACAAACTTAATTTCTGTAAAAATGATTTTCGATGTACAGGGGAGGAAAAAAACTTTAATAAAATTATGTTTTATCTTTCTTTTTACAATTCATACCCAAATATTCAGCAAATAAAACCCTACACATCTTTTTGCTGCTCCGAGTAAACGTATCAAAGTTTTGGGAAGAAAATTATTTTTTGAAAGGGGGAAAGATTTTTCAAGAAAGGAACTTAATTTTTGCCACAAACTCAAATTTTCTAATCCCAATTTCTTTGAAACCTGTGTCCGAATTTAATGAATTTGAGTCGCGTCTTAAATCCGCCAAAACCCTGTTTCAACTGAGCGCCGGCGTCAATCTTGAAACAATTTTAAGTGGGACCAACCATGTTTGAGACGCGTCTCAAATTTAAGCCGCGGCTTAAATTATTTAAATTCGGCCTCCTATGATGTAAACCTTATTTCAAATATGTCCACAGAATTTCAAATATTAAAGATCGGGTTGCACAGATATAGGGATTATAATTTTGAAGTTCTGGATAAAATCTCATTTCCTCTGCTCCCCTGATATATATTCAACAAATATATGTATTGTTCTAAACCACGCAAAGTCTAAGTATGAAAGATATACGGTTTAATTTAGATAAAAAAACTAATCAGTACTTTTGTCAGGAAAGGAGTTTTTAGGAGGGGGGGGGGGCTCAGGATCGTACGCCCCTTTTGTCTTTCTTTATATAAAGCTGCTCTATAGCACAAGCTTAAGAATTTGTCAAATTTAGAAAAACAAAAAAGAAGTCTTAATCTCAATTAAAGTTGACCTTTTAATTTTTAAGACAAATAGTTTATGTAACAACTTTTTGATCGTGTAAAGATTTTTCATTGCAACGCAAAGGCCTTTCGACCCTTTGGTTTTGCATGATCAGCTGATTAATATTTTTCTGTAGCCCGGACATTCAAATTGTGATACATATGTTTTTAGCTTAATGTTAAAAGGAGTATATGGCAAAATCCTTATCAAATTAAACGTGAGAAAATGCTTACTGAGGTTCACAATTAATATTAAGAGAACGAGGGAAGGGGTGCAGGGCCGCATCAGCACCGCGAAACCGTCTCCACGCCCCTCGCTACCTCTCTAAGCCTGCATCAGAATGCCCTGCATTTTGGTCTCCAATAAAATATTTGGCTTTTACATCCACAAATTTTTTTTTTAAATAATCTCATTATGATAAAATAGAAAATTTTAATGATCCATAAACAATTTATTAAGAAAATTCTATTTTAATTGAGATTAAGACTTCTATTTTTGTTTTGAAAATTTCACAAATTCCTCAACTTGTGAATAACTATTGCAGTTTATATATTATTTGAGAAATTTTATATTATTTTCCAGGCGTATATATCTTGTACGAATAAAATTGTGTAAGCACCAATTAATAAAACAAAATAGTTCTTGTGAAATACTACAATATTTGCTTTTATTGTGAATATCCAGATCCTAAATTTCATTTACTCAAACATCTTTTCCTCTCCTTTATAATAGAAACCATCTCTATGAATCCAAACACGTTTATCCCTCAATTCTCAAACCAAGGTAATTATAGAAACATCCGTATCTTATTTACATTAACAAGTGTACTGCATTATTTGGGAGAAATAAAATAACCTGATCCGCACGAGGGGGGGAGTCTAGAGTTCCTTAACGAGTAATCACCGCCACCCAAATGTGTTTTGCGGCAAGCGCGCTCCTCAATTGGTAATCTCCACCACCTCAATTGGTAATCAGCCAAAAAAAAGCATAACATTAAATCGGTTATTTCTTATAAACAAGACCATATTGACCTCTGTTAATGGCCCTATAGTGTACAATATTGTTAAAGCTTTCTTTATTGCTCCTTAGTTTCGAATCTATAAGTATGCGACACTAAGCGCTAGAATTAAAATTACTGCGTTTGTTTATTTACAGGTTTACACTCAGAGGCGGATCCAGCTATTTGAAAAGGGGGGTCAAACTCCCAATAAAACTGGGACGGGAGAACCGTGCAAAACTTGGAGTTAGTAGGGGGTGCAGTGGGGTGGAGCCCCCCGCATGAATTCAGACAATAAAAATCCAGTAAAGTCGTCTCTGAAGTCTCATCCTTTGTGGGTAAGCATAATTTGCTATTTCTTAAGTAATTAAATCAATTAATCAAAAAATATTTTTATTGTTAGAGTAAGAACTTGTCTACATCATTTAACAAAATACGAAATATTATTTATCAGCAATGCTTGCTGAATTTCTGTTTAAATAAAAGATAGAAAAACAAATAATTTTCTCCATTTTTAAAGTATAATCTTAAAATGTGATGAATTTACTTTGTTGTGCGGAATCGACGTTTACCAGAACTTGGTAAAAAAAAATATGGAAAACTGGATATTCACAAAAAATTAGTTAATTATAAGTACTTTGATTTGAATCAGATCAAGTAATCCGATCAAGTAATCCGATCAAGTAGTCAGATCAAATAATCAGATCAAGTAATCAGATCAAGTAATCATATCAAGTAATCAGATCAAATAATCAGATCAAGTAATCAGATCAAATAATCAGATCAAGTAATCAGATCAAATAATCAGATCAAGTAGTCAGATCAAGTAATCAGATCAAATAATCAGATCAAGTAATCAGATCAAGTAATCAGATCAAGTAATCAGATCAAGTAGTCAGATCAAGTAGTCAGATCAAGTAATCAGATCAAATAATCAGATCAAGTAATCAGAGCTGATTGGTTAAATTTTTAACTTCTTTAAGTTTAAGCATTAATATTGATATCCACCATTCTAAAGTTTTCAACTCTGATCAAGTAATCAGATCAAGTAATCAGATCAAGTAATTAGATCAAGTAATCAGATCAAGTAATTAGATCAAGTAATCAGATCAAGTAATCAGATCAAGCAATCAGATCAAATAATCAGATGTAAATCCGAAACAGTATCTAAACTGCATAATTTACAGTGATGGTAACGATTGGTCTTCTTTCACTCTGGTCAGAAATAATTAAACTTTGTATAATATTTTTACAATTTAAACAATTTTTTGAATTACTTTGTGATCAAACAATCCACTAAATTATCCAATAGGTTGAGTTTCTTTGATCAGCCAGTCTAGAGCTTCTACTTTTCCCATTTCTTTCAGCAGTGGACCAACCCTAGGAAAAAGTAGAAAATTTGATATTTTGTTGTTAAGCAAAAACAGATCTCTCAACTCTCAAGATTATCCGACCTTTGGCGAACACTGCATGTCTTTATCTGTTCCTGTTTATCATGTATATGGTATTTGTCCCTGCATGTCTGGTATCTAGTATATGTACCTGTCCCTGCATGTCTGGTATCTAGTATATGTACCTGTCCCTGCATGTCTGGTATCTAGTATATGTACCTGTCCCTGCATATCTGGTATCTGATATATGTACCTGTCCCTGCATGTCTGGTATCTGGTATATGTACCTGTCCCTGCATATCTGGTATCTGATATATGTACCTGTCCCTGCATGTCTGGTATCTAATATATGTACCTGTCCCTGTATGTCTGGTATCTAATATATGTACCTGTCCCTGCATGTCTGGTATCTATTATATGTACCTGTCCTTGCATGTCTGGTATCTAGTAAATGTACCTGTCCCTGCATGTCTGGTATCTGGTATATGTACCTGTCCCTGCATGTCCGGTATCTGATATATGTACCTGTCCCTGCATGTCTTGTATCTAGTATATGTTCATGTCCCTGCATGTCTGGTATCTAGTATATGTACCTGTCCCTGCATGTCTGGTATCTGATATATGTACCTTTCCCTGTATGTCTGGTATCTAGTATATGTACCTGTCCCTGTATGTCTGGTATATAGTATATGTACCTGTCCCTGCATGTCTGGTATCTAGTATATGTACCTGTCCCTGCATGTCTGGTATCTGGTAAATGTATCTGTCCCTGCGTGTCTGATATCTAGTATATGTACCGGTCCCTGCATGTCTGGTATCTAGTATATGTACCTGTCCCTGTATGTCAAATATCTCGTATATGTACCTGTCCCTGCATGTCTGGTATCTAATATATGTACCTGTCCCTGCATGTAGGGTATCTAGTATATGTACCTGTCCCTGAATTTCTGATATCTAGTATATGTGCCTGTCCCTGTATGTCTGGTATCTAGTATATGTACCTGTCCCTGCATGTCTGGTATCTAGTATATGTACTTGTCCCTGCATGTCTGGTATCTAGTATATGTAACTGTCCCTTCATGTCTGATATCTGATATATGTACCTGTCCCTGCATGTCTGGTATCTGATATATGTACCTGTCCCTGCATGTTTGGTATCTGATATATATACCTGTCCCTGCATGTCTGATATCTGATATATCTACCTGTCCCTGCATGTCTGGTATCTGGTATATGTACCTGTCCCTGTATGTCTGGTATCTGATATATGTACCTGTCCCTGCATGTCTGATGGTAGTTGTTTAACCAGTCTGTCTCCTGGTCAGTCAGGAGTCCAGGAAGAATAAGCTTGGTTTGAATAGGAACCAGAGTTAGCTGATCAAACGTCAGGAACTTTTTCTCTACAAAATAAAATTGTTTAACAAATAAACAAATAAACAAATAACAAATAACAAATAACAAATAAACAAATAAACAACAAATAAACAACAAATAAAATAATAAACAAATAACAAATAAAAAAATAACAAATAAACAAATAAACAAATAACAAATAACAAATAAACAAATAAACAACAAATAAACAACAAATAAAATAATAAACAAATAACAAATAAACAAATAACAAATAAACAAATAAACAAATAAACAAATAAACAAATAAACAAATAAACAAACAAACAA